TGGTGGGAATGCAAGCTGGTGCAGCCACTCTGGAGAACAGTATGCAGCTTCTTCAAAATGTGAAAAAATAGAACTACCCTACGACCCAGCAATTGCACTACTAGGTATTTACCCAAAGAATAAAAAAATACTAATTCAAAGGGATACATCCTAGGTTTATAGCAGCATTATTTACAATAGCCAAGATATGGAAGCAACCCAAATGTCCATTGACTGCTAAATGGATAAAGAAGATGTGGTGTGTATGTGTGTGTGTGTGTGTGGGGGGGGTATTATGTATATATACATATATATACATACATATATGTATATATACATACATATATGTATGTGTATATATATATATATATATGAATATTATTCAACCATAAAAAATGAAATCTTGCCATTTTCAATGACATGGATGGAGCTAGAGAGTATAATGCTAAGCAAAATAAGGAAGTCAGAGAAAGACAGATACATGATTTCACTCACATGTGAAATTTAAGAAACAAAACAAACCAGCAAAGAAAAAAAAGAGAGACAAACCAAGAAGCAGACTGTTTACTATAGAGAACAAACTGATAGTTACCAGAGGGGAGGAGGGTTGGGGGGTCATGGGGGAAACAGGTGATAGGGATTAAGGCGTGCACTTGTCGTGATGAGCACAGGGTGTGATGTATGGAATTGTTGAATCACTATATTGTACACCTGAAGCTAATGTAACACTATATGTTCACTATAATAGAATTAAAAACATAAAAAAATTTTTTTAATAAAGAAAATGTGGTCTATCCATCTAATGGAATATTATTCAGCCATAAAAAGGAATGAAATACTCATGCATGTTACAGCATGAATGAACCTCAAAAACATTGTGTTGACCAAAAGAAGCCAGTCACAAAAGACCACATACTGTGTGATTCCATTTGCATGCAATGTCCAGAATAGGTAAATGCATAGAGACAGAAAGCAGATTACTGGTTGCCTAGAGTTGTTGATGGGGGAGGTGACTGGTGAGTGACTGCTAATGGGTACAAGTGGTCTTTTTAGGCTGGCAAAAATGTTTAAAAACTAGATTATGGTGATGGTTGCACAACTCTAAAAATACTATCGGTGAGTTGTGTATTTTAAATTGGTCAACTTCATCACATGTGAATTATGTCTCAACAAAGCTGTTAAAATAAATTAGCTTGAGATGAACTTACTAATATAACAATATAATGAAAACTTGGTGTAGAGACATTTTTCTAACAGAGATGAAAATCCAAAAGATATGATGAAATTATATATATAAATGTGATTTCATAGAACTAAAGCAAAATGAAGACACCAACAAAATATATGCAACATAACCGTAAAAATCCTCTATCCGTCATATGCAAAGAACTCCTAAAAATTGACCAGAAAGTGACAAGCAACCCAAGATCAAATGCAGGAACTATATAAATAGCAAATTCAAAGAAGAGAAAAATGCAATGTCCAAAAACCTAAGATGGGTGAACTCAGCTGTCTAAAAAGTTGCCAATTAAAACAATGAGATTCACCATTTTGATCCATCGGCTTGGCAAAAATTAAGAAGTGTAACAATATCTAAGCCTAATGAGCATGTGGAAAAATTGGTTTGTTGTTTTCATATTGTTAATTGTTACAACTCTTTTGGAGTACCTAGTAAAATTGTAAACATATAAATCCATAAATATCCCATTTTGAGATGTTATGTAAAAAAAGCCCACTAAAACTTATGGCCGTACGTATGCACGTATATGTACACACAGAGGAGTGTTATAGCATTGTCTGGAATTGCAAAACCCTGGAAGCAATCTGGATGGCCATCAGTTAAATAAGATTCGGTCACTCCGTAATTATTATGGCACATCTACTAAAAAGAATGAGTTAGGTCTATGTGTACCAACTTGGAGTGATGTTCATGATATCATGATATCGTCTTTAGAGAAAAACTCAGTTGTAGAATGTGCAGTGTGATTCTATCTTTGTCAAAAAAAAAAAGTATGTATGTTGCCGACTGCCTTTCTCCTTCCCCTGGGATCCGTATATGATGAGGAAAAGGGTTTTTGCTTCTTCTGTTCACTGCTGTATCACTTGTGCCTACAACAGGGTGTGACGTATAGTAGGTGCTCCAAAAACATTTTTTTATTCAATGAATATAAAGATCTGTTTTTGTGAGAGCAAGAAGAGGCTGTCCATTTCAGTTGCATCTGCAGAAAAGGATTATCGAGAACGAGGGGGAGAGATGATTGGCATTCTCTGTATACATCTTTGGCCTCACTCGTCAACAATAAACATACTCGTTTTGTGATGACAGCTTCTTAAAAAGGTAATGTTAAGTGGAGAAAAGGAAGATAAACTATGGATGCCATCACATGGAGAGACACTCAACTCCTGTCATACACACTCTGAGCAGAGAAGAGACCAAGAGGCAAGAGCACACGGGGCTGTTTGGGGACAGAGAAGACTGCAGGGTGCGGGACTGGGTGGATGTGGGGACCGTCTTTTCTTTACATTCGGTTAGAGGCTGTTCGTGCACACTGACTGCTTTACCCATTTACAGAGACATATGGGCTGGAAAGGTCTTCTCTTGGTTTCAAATATGAATGCGTTCACCACCGGGTGTCTGGAACGAATTCTATTTTGTTTATGCCCACGAGTAACCAGTAAGTAGTTGCCTTCACTCCCACGGCTGCTCTTAGTCACTCTGGACTGGTCCCACTTGGTCACCAGCACCAGCGCTCAGAGTTCTCCTTAGGGCATACACACCTTTGGTAAAGAGGCCTCAAGCACGTTGTCCTAGTTACTTGGTACTGGAAGAATCGAGGGGCCATACCAGAAGACAGTTTGATGTAAGCGCCTCGATTGCTGCCTTCTTCATAATAATTAGAAGCAGAAAATATAGTAATGACCTGATAAAAGAAACAGAAGACCAGGATCACATGGAGGTGGTTCTCAAAAGGTCTCTCAATAAAGTCAGAAATAGCTCAATTCCTAAAAAGGCAAACATCAAAGTTCCGGACGCATACAAATGATCCAAGTCTGACAGGATTTTCTGTGCTTCCACTGGAGAGGCAACAAGGCTCTCAAACGGGTGTCCCCAGGAATACGGACTTCTAGCCACTCGTCCCCGCAGTGCCTGGCCTTGCAATCCTGTGTACGATTTCAGTTCCGTATCTGACGATCCCCCTTATCGCTAGGTTTTGGAAATCCTAATGTTCCAAGCGGGGGAAGACTTTGTTTTCCTTCCCTGTGGTATGTGAGCGTTCAAAATAAAACTTGTCTAGTATGAGTCTTTTTCCTTTGCCTAAAGCTGCCTGATTTAGAGCGTTTAGGGCCCCCACAAAACTAGGCATGTAAGGGCAGGGAAAATAGTGGCCAGAATAAGGGCCCAGGACCATCGTGTTGGGAGGGAACGGCCCCGGGGCCCTGGTGGAGGATGGCAGGGTAGTGCTTGTTGTAGCCGGTTCTGCCCTAATCGGCCTGCTACGTCAGACAGGCCGTTTTCTGTTTTCTTAGCCCAAGAAGCCTCACATAATACTTGCCTCAACTATCCCACGGCATTAGTAGGAGCCCGAAAGGAACGAACAGAGGTAAGCAAAGCAAAAGTTTTGAAATAGAAAGGAATGCCACACAAGCTGGTATTCCATTTGATTCACGGCTGTTCTCTACTAGGAAAGGGACATCCCGGGACAAGTTGGGACAAGAAACCAGTTCATCAGCCCTCGCCTCTCCCAGCCTCACCACACCCGCACTGAAGGAGCACAACACGCTCCGCTCCAGCGGCTGCAGCTGAACTGGGACCAGGCGAGTGCCTTGCTGGGGCTGGCCCGCTCGGTGAGGAGAAGGGAGGCGACTCTGTGGCTGTGCCCCGCACAGGGAAGGTACAAAAGGCGAAAGGGAGCAAACTGGATTCACTGCGGCCTTTGAGGCGCTCGGTGAGGACAAGCAGACTCTTAACCCCACTGTACTGGAAAGTTGCCTTTCGGTTAGTCAAGAACGAAGCCTTTCTGTGAGGGTCCTTAGAGCTACGGGTCAGGATTTCGATCTCTGGGATTAGGGAAGATGAGGGAAATGAGCCACTATCTCTTAGGGTGAGGCACGGCGAGGCCCCTTCACGCAACCTGTGTGAACCCTATAGTCTCCTGCTTCCGTCTACCAAAGCGTGGCCTTCTGTTTTCGTCCCGGGGAAGACACCTTCCCGGAGGCTTCAAGGTCAGACGCATCCTGGGAAGAAAGACTGCTCGGGGCAAGGATGTCTGTGATGACATCACCAACAGTGTTAGCTCACCTTCCCATCGTGGCAGATTTCATACCCTTCGGGCTTACATTCATGAGACCTGATGAGCATCTTCAGCTGGTATCTATTAAGAACCTTGGAGGTGATATCTGGTCCAAAATAGCAGCCCCCTCCTCGACTTGTGTTCGGGTAACAGCCTCTTTTGCCTCTGGGATCACTCCACAGAATATCGATGACCTTTGAACAACAAAGCAGGTTAGGCTGCTATTTACAAGTGAGACTCTGTCGTTCTAGACTTCGACTTCTTTGCCAGAAACATTAACCCGAGTTATCCCAAAGTCTAACTGTTCCTCATTCCTCCTTCAAACTTGTTTCGTACTCCTCTCCTCCATAGATCTTTTCCACGACAACTGCAAGGCCCACAGCCACCGCAATCCCTTTCTGCTTGCTCGTCCCCAACAACCAATGTACCAAGAACAAGAACCAACGCAGCAATACTTAGTAGCCATGGAGAATCGGCCCTTGCCCTTGTCTGTCTTTAAAAATCTCATCACGATTGTTCCACAAGTGCCGAATCTACCAATTCACGATTCTTACATGAGATGCAAGTTCTCTTAAAAGAACTTCGTCGTCCTACTCCAAAGAGAAAGCAGCTCTCCACAGTGAACACACGCTAGATGGTCTTTTTTTTTTTTTTTAATGTTTATTTATTTTTGAGAGAGGAGGGGAGAGAGAGAATCCCAAGCAGGCTCCGCGCTGTCAGTGCAGGGCCCGACTCTGGGCTCAGATCCACAAACCATGAGAAGGCGACCTGAGCCGAAACCAAGAGTCGGACACTTAACCGACTGAGCTACCCAGGTGCCCCTACATTAGATATTCTTAATACGTTCAAAGAGATAATTGGGTCTCCCAGCTGTGGCTCTGGCCCTGGCTTTTGTCCTGTTGAGCAGATAGCATGAGGAAGCCTTCTTCCCCACCACAGATACAGATAAGAATTCATCCAAGAATACTTCCCTAAATCATCTCCTTCATTTTTTGGCCCATCCATAAGAACACTCTCAGTTTTAGCAATAAATTCAGCCACCGACTGGTTTCCCCAACGTGTCCTAAATCCACAGGTATTTTATTAGCATCACATTTCCTTCTGGGGCTGAAAGAGGTAAATGCAGGCTACGTGATGCCCAAGACTGAAGATCCAAGTTTCTAAGAATATTTTTCATGGCTCTGATCTACATATAATGTTTCTTTATTTAAACTCCTATAGGAGCTTAAGCAGCAGTGAGAAAAAAAAAATAGCTGCGTCACTAAAGCTGTGCAGCCTTGGGAAGACTCTCTGGGTCTCAGTTTCTAGATCTCTAAAATCAGCAGTTTGGGCCAGATGACTTGTAAAGTATCTCCAAGTTCTAACACACTATGATTCTACGAGTCCATGTTTTGTGGGCATGAAGAAACCATGCATCTTAAGTTCTGCAGTTATTCAAGCAGGTCCAAGTGAGGTCTTGACGAGAGGACCAGAAATGGTTGTCCCGGTAACCTTGACTGTACACCCATTTGTAGGTTTAGTATTGAAGGGGGGCTATAAATCAGTGAGGAAAAAGACAGCGAGCTGGAGCGAAGAACGGAACCGGTAGGAGAACTCTGGAATGACGAGCACCTGGTCGGAACTTGTCGAAACCCTCCATCAGGCCAAACCAGACATTTGCGCCAAGTTTTTGACGACTGATTGAAGTGAGACTTAAAACCACCTGAAGAAGATTCAGACCAAGATTCTCCTCTCTTCCCCTGAATGCCAACACTGAATGCCAACACTGGCACAATCCTGCCCTTCCAAATTAATACACTGGAGCCCCTTTCCCTGGCTGGTGTTTATGTCAAAACCAATACTTGCGTTGTCACATCTGGCTCTTACACCATGAATTCCTGTTTGGGGGTCCCGATTTGGCCTTTAGTGTAATGAAGGTGGGAAAAATGGAACACAAGGAACTGTGCTTGTATGAGGAAGGGATTAAGTGGTAAATTCCTACATGAGATACAAGCCATTTATAGCTAAAATTACCCCTGGGAAACCTCTGAAATTACCCTTAAAGCACACTATACGTGATTTTATATATACAATCCTACACAATAATATGGATGTGTGAACATTTTATAGATGTAATAATATATAATGTGATAAATAACATTTGTGAAAATAAAATTATATATACTTTTCTCCTTTCTGCCAAATACATACAGTTAAAATGCACAGAAGTTAAACGTATGCATAACGGACTCTGTTGAACTCGGAGAAACACTGGCCAAGGACTTAGGTCTTCGGCTGGCACCTGTGTCACCTGAGGCAAATCATTTAACCTAGCTGAACTTTAGTTGGTTCATCAATGAAACGAGAAAGACATATCAAGAATTCATTTTTCTTTGACTCATAGTCAAAGGGGGTATGAGCTTTACAGAACTAAAGTTCTTCAGAATCATCCCTTACCAGGCGTGGGCATTTCTTTTTTTGGTCTAGAATCCATTCACTTGACTAGGTTTACCCAGACTGTGGCTGTAACATAGACTTGATTCTAAAACTCACAGACAGAAAAAGGACCCTTTGTGGGTGAAGCAGTTTCCTCAGAAGAGACCCTCTCTTTCCTTCCAGCAACATCCTCTCCTCTGAAATGCAAGGGCCTTGTGAGTGGTAAGCGCATGAAACAATAGTTATTCGCAATATCCCTTCCTGAAAATGTTCAAACCGAAAACTGGAAAAGCTTTACTGAATGACAGCTCGTATATGATCCGGCCAATAAAAATCTCTTCGTGCCTCGGCCTTCAAACCTCCTAAATCCAAAATGAATCCAGCAAGAAATGTCCTGTGCTTGTCTGCAGCTCTCAGTTATCCAGTTCCCAAAAGCACGCTTTGGGGGAGAGTTAATAGCTGTGGAAGGTGTATCTAAATGCCTCTCTTCTAACACACTAATGCTATAGATTCACTATTCTTTTGCATTTTCCCCTTAGTGACGTATCTTCCTTCCAGCTTGTGAACATCTTTTAAAGGCTGCACTCAGCCCAAACCCTCCGGCGGCACCTAAATCACTGAAGGTGCCTATTCCCTGTGTACCCATTAGCCACACGGGATGAGAAACCGGAGAAGTTCGACTCCTTCTTGAGACCCGCCGCCATCATTCCGAAGCCATCTTTCCCTTCGGAAAAAGAGCTTGGGCCTTAAAGGCAGACCTGAGATCACACCCTGCTCTACCACCCAGTGACTAGCCAAGTGACAAGCCATTTCACTTAACATCTTATATAATTTACTTGCTTTACCTACTTAACTCCTCTCCCTAGAATGTAAGCTTCACAAGGTAATACATCTTTGGTCACTGACATTCCCAAAAGCCTACGACAGTGCCTGATACATAGCGGGTGTTCAGTAAATTCTTGTTGAATGAATGAATGAAGACTCACTCAGGAAATAAATAATTGCAACTATTTTTTAAACCTCTCTGGTCTTCTTGTTGCAAGTCTGTCTTAAAGGAAGAGTGCCACATTTGTCTATAGAAGGACTTAGCTATGAGTACGTATCTCTCCCACATCTCAGTGAACATAAAACCCAAACCATAGCACTCTGCCAAGAATTATGCACTTCTGTGAGTATGGCACAAATAAAGAGCCTATGACCTTTATCATAACACAGCTCATAGATATTAAGAAATAAAGTGCGAAATCTGGTTTGATCTGGAAATTTCAACTCTAGCTAACTGAAGTATGCACACCCACTTTGTACCAGCAACTGAAGGAAGAAAATTAAGGGTACAACCGAAATTGTTAAAATATCGGGAATGAGATTCTGGTCCATTTTCCCCTGTGTCAACTCCAGTCATGTACATGGAGTCTGTAAGATGCCTCATTCATAGAGATGGGGTGGTGGGAGGTTCAATTACAGAATAATGACCCCCCCACACACACACACTTCTTAAAGCTCCATCCCTCTATAATTCTAACTCATCTAGGCTTCCAGAAGCCACACTTTTCCTTCTGTGCAACTCCAATCTCTTTGGCATCATCCTTTTTATTTACCACAATCCTAGAAGTGCTTGTAATAATCTTTGGTCTCTGGAATTTGGATTTCAGAATCTAAGGAGGCATCCTTTCCTACCTGCCATAGGTTGCCTCTTGTACTTAACTTGATTTTTTTTTTAATACTTTGGATGCACAAGCCATTAACAAAATTCTATTTCTCTCGTACTGCCCCTTCTTCCACCCCCTCTCTATCCTCCCACCTCTCTCTTCTCCTCATTATTAGAGGATATTTTGCATCAGAAATCACATTTTAGCCTACATTTTAGGAATCAAAGTATAAGAGTACAGAGTCAAGAAATAGGGGCTTCTTGGGGGTAAGCAAGTAGAAGAGAAGAAGGCTGATGGGTCCATGATACTAGGACAGAATCAGGGAAAGGGGTAGATGAGAAGAGCCCTCTTAGGGCCTCAAAGATTGTCGTACCCTGCCTCTGCAAAAGACACCAAGTTTCATGGGATCAGATTGTGGATCTGTTTGTGAGCCCTGGGACATTGTTAAAAACAACAGCACAATCAGCTCAGAGCCTGGAGCCTGCTTCGGATTCTGTGTCTCCCTCCCTCTCTGCTCCTCCCCTGCTCACACTCTGTCTCTCTCTGTCTCTCAAAAATAAGTTAACATTTAAAAAAAATTAATTTTTTAAAAATGTTTATTTATTTTTAACAAACGTGGGGCTTGAACCCACGAACCGCGAGGTCATGACCTGAACTGAAGTCGGACGCTCAACCGACTGAGCCACCCAGGGGCCCCTAAACAACTCACTTTTTTAAATGAGCAAAGGATCTGAATAGATATTTCTCTAAAGAAGACATAAAGGTGGCCAATTAGCACATGAAAAGATGCTCAACATCATTAATCATTAGAAAACTGCCAAAAAACCACAACAAATCAAAGCCACAATGAGATTCCACCTCATACCCATTAGGATGGCCACAATCAAAAAGGATAGACAATTTGTTAAGTGAGGATATGAAGAAACTGGAACCTTCATACATTGGTGATGGAGATGTAAAATGGTGTAGCCACTTGGGAAAAGGTTGAAGTTTCTTAAAATGTTCGACTTAGAATTATCTTATGACCATACAATTCCACTCCTAGGTATATACCAAAGAGAAAGGAAAACGTATGTCCACACAAAAACATGTCTGTAATGTTTTTGGCAGCATTACTCATAATAGCCAATAAGTGGAAACAACTCAAATGTCTACCCACTGAGGAATGAATAAACAAAATGTTTATTATAGAGTATTATTTAGCAATAGAATATTATTTAGGATATTACTTAGCAATAAAAAGCAACAAAGTACCGATACATCTTACAACATGGATGAACTTCAAAACACTGGGCTGAGTAAAAAAAAAAAAAAAAAAGCCAGACACAAAAGATCACCTGTTGTATCGATCTATTTCTAGAACATGTCCAGAACAGATAAATCTATAAAGACCAAAAGTAGATTAGTATGGGATTTCTTTTTCAGGGGATGAAAATGTTCTAAAATTAAATTGTGGTGACAGGTACACAACACTGTGACTGCATCAAAACCATTGAATTAATATACTTTAAATGAGTGAATTACATCTCAATGAAACTATTAAAAGTATAGTGGCGAATTCCCAAAGAAGAGTATGACCTGCTTATGAAGGTCAGCCACTTTCCTGTGTACATATTATAAATTTTTTTTTTCAACGTTTATTTATTTTTGGGACAGAGAGAGACAGAGCATGAACGGGGGAGGGGCAGAGAGAGAGGGAGACACAGAATCGGAAACAGGCTCCAGGCTCTGAGCCATCAGCCCAGAGCCCGACGCGGGGCTCGAACTCCCGGACCGCGAGATCGTGACCTGGCTGAAGTCGGACGCTTAACCGACTGCGCCACCCAGGCGCCCCTCCTGTGTACATATTATAAGAGACAACATCATCTATGCCGCATCCTCGTTGCTACTTTGGTGAATACTCTGATTACCTACCTGTTCCCATTCATGCTTTGTTAACTGTTCAGAATGGGATGCACTCGTTTTGACTTCCCGAGGTAAAATAGTGGTGTTGAATTTCTTTTTCTTCACGTTGGTGTCAGGGTCTCCATCTAAGGGGGTTGGTGGCATCAGCACAGATTTCATCTGCAAAGCAAATTCCCTCTTTAGTCGAACCCCAGGTTTCGTGTGCTGCACGCAGAAACTTCAATGCGAGCCGCCACTCTGTCTATATCGTTGTGCCTCGACCCAATGAGAGACACATGGTCACCTTTTCCATCTCACCTACCACTTTCATCTCGTGGAGCCACTGATCTCTGTAAAGTGGGCCTGTTACATTCGGTTGGTACATGTTTTAACTAGAGACATGGCCCTTCAGGGAAGGTTTCCCATTCGAGTTTCTAAAGGCCCCCAGAAGCACAGATGTCAGTGCTAGACGTGTCCTGAGGTCTGATCACAGGAAATGCAAGTTGCGAAGGGAAAACTCGTCTCCCTCTGAGCCTTCACCTACACATGGGGCTAAGAGAGAATCAATAGGCTTTAAATTCAGAAATGCCTCTCGAGAGGGTGGCTGCCTTTCACGTTGTTGTTTTTTTCCAGGAGATATGGGAGAAAATACATCTGTGTTCACAAAAGTTCTCCAAAGGGACGGAGAAAGCCGTTCAACTTCAATGCCATGTAATTCACAGTCTGACCCTGCCAGCAACTGGTTATGTTCTCTAATCTTAGCAACAAAGGTGATGCATCCTTCGGAAAATAAAATGTCTTTCTGATGGTAAAATGACTATTACAATCCCTTCTGTGTTCCCTCACTTAAGCTAAGACTATAATTTTGTACTTGTTTCTTCATAACACCATACCTTTATATAAAACAATTGGAAACAACACTTCTGTTAATGGTAGGCACTTTGTCTCTCCTATAAACTAGGGTGTATACAAAATCTTCCCTTTAGTTTTTAAAAATAAAATTGAATCTTATTCTAAGATCTTGTCATATTGAGATGGTTGGAAATTCAATCTCAGCGATTATCAGTGAGTTCACAGCCTACCCTCCCATCTCTCCCCAGAAAATATCCCCAGGTCCTGAGCAGGGCAGAATATTCTGGGAGGCCGCTCTCGACTTGGGTCCATACAACTTCTGATAAGCTCACTGGGCAAGGCCACATGGTCTCTTGTACATGTGGCTTTGATGTTTTCAAGGCTACTTGGGATCAAGATACTTTGCCCCAGCTCCCCCCTAAGGTAGCACACCATCATTTTCTCCTGGGAACCCTACTAGCCATCCCTTCCTACACCCCCTGCCAGGGAGTTTAAAGAATACTAAACCAGAGTTTTATAAAATCTTCCTTCTCTGTCCCTCTGATTGACACCCCCCAACCCACCCACCTTACAAAATGCCTTTAATGTACCTAGAAGGAGGTTGTCATCAGATTCCCCCATCCTACCCCACTCTGTTAAAATTATACCACCGCAACAGGTATAAACAAGGAAACAGTGTCATCCCTACACTTAAAGGGTACTAAGGGATGGGAAAATGGAGGCTGTAAACTAGACTTGAAAATCTACTTTTATAGTTCGTCTAGTAGAGTTCCAAAGGCTTGCACCTACTACTTTCATCATGGTTCAATTATATTTAATACAAGTATGTGCTTCCAGTTCAACCTCACTCTAGCAGGGGTAGAGGATACATGAAGTACACAAGTCAAATGTCTATGTTTAAAACCAGGCTTATGAGTAGATGGAACGATGATTCTCAAAAGAGGTGAAGTTTGAGGTTTCCTGAGAAAATTCCTGGCCCAAAAACTTCTCCCCAGCGTATGTTTTGGTGACTAAAATTCCAACCTCAGGGGCGCCTGGGTGGCTCAGTCAGTTAAACATCCAATTTTTGATTTCAGTTCAAGTCATGATCTCATGACTGTGGGATCGAGGCCTGCATTGGGCTCTGCGCTAAGAGCCTGGTTGGGATTCTCTTTCTCCCTCTTTCTTTCTCTGCATCGCCCCCCAACACCCCACTAGCATGTGCTCTCTCTCTCTCTCTCTCTCTCTCTCTCAAGTGAATAAACTAAAAAAAAGAAAAGGAAAAAGAAAATTCAAACCTCAGTTCCAAGTATCAGGAAAGAGAGGAGAGCGTTGAAGGAGAGAGCTTTGTGTTCAGAGCTTACTCTATGCTGTTTTCTTCATCTAGGTAATTATATTTAATCCTCCTAACAATTCAATATAGTAGGTATTTTTAGCTTCCACACACGGGTGCAGAAACTGAGGCTTAGAAAACTTTGGTGCCTTGCCCGGTCACCCAGCCAGGAAGCGATGGAAGCAGGAAATAGAGCTGGCTATGTCTGTGTGATGTCAGAGCCTCACGGAGTTTACTAGGTCAAGGTGGCTCACACCTTAGGGTCTCCACAGACATAGGAATAGGCATTTCCGGGCCATGCTCTTAATATCTCAAAAAACTCTAGAGAGGGCTGACGGCTCAGACTAACTTCAGGAAAGGCAAAGTTTTCAATCTGATCGATTGGTGGTGGCTGCCTAGCTGCTTAGCGCTGTCGTCCCAGGGCGGGTGACGGTAGAGTGTTGCCTTCCTGCCATGTGCTTGCCAATATTTGACTGACAGAAACATCATGTACCCTTGCTCTTGGCTAAAATCACATCCAGTCGTTATGTTAACACTGACTGTCTCGTGTGGATCAAAATATTTTATTGGATCGATTATGTGCTGATATCATGAGAAAGATGCCTTAAACGTAGGGTGAAAAACTTATCGCAATTGAAGTACTTCTGAGAGTAAAGAGAGGCACTATTAATAATCACACGAGGACAATAGGGTCAAGGCTGGGTCAGATTCGGGAGGAGGTATGTAAAATCACAACAGAATCAGGAAAGAGGTTATAAAGAAGTTTCTATACGGTTTCGTATGAGGTCTGCCCTGCTTTTGTCTTAAATCTCTTAGGAGATATCTAACAAACAGTGATTGAGTATTTACTACAGCTTAGGGGCTGGAGCTATGTCAGTGAATTAGAGAAGCAGGGGAGGACAGTAAACAAACAGTACCCCAGCTCTTTATTCAATTCTGGTAACTGTTATGAAGGATATGTACAAGGGGCTTGAGAACATAGACAAGGGGACCCGACCTAGTCTGGACGTCATGGAAGGCTTTCCAGAGGAGGGGTGCGTTTAAGCTGAAATTGAAAGGATGAGAATTAGCAATAATATTATCTTTCATATGTATGTAAAGGTGTGAGGGCTCCAGGAACCCGAGGTGAATTTCTGTCTGTATCAAATTAAACTCCAGCTCTAGACTCCACTTGCCTAGATGGGTGAGACGTTGACTATCAGTCTTGAGGGGTAAGGGTTCAGGTTTCTCACTAAGACCATAGGATCATCTGGTTCCAGAGCTGCTTCCGGTCCTCACGCTCACGTGGCACCTCCCGTGCCCCTGGTCTGGGGGCTTCGGCCGGGCTCCGGTACAGGAGGAAGATAATTCCAGGCACTCTGCGAGGCCCAGCCAACGGGGCCCTTCACTCAGTGTGGGAGCTTGACAGGCCACACATAGCCTCTTGAAGGTTCTAGACATGTTCTTGCTCTGCTTCTGTTGTACTTAATATGATTACTCAGGTTTAAAATATTCCCCTCGCCAAATACCCTGAGCCATTTGAAAGTACAAGAGAAATCGTACCAATTCAGAAATAAATTGCTGTACGATTCCATTTATATGAGGTACCCAGAATAGTCAAAATCAGAGACAGAAAGTAGAACGGTGGTCACCAGGGGCTGGGGAGAGGGGAGAATGGGGAGCTGTTGTTTAATGGGTATAGGGTTTCGGTTTGGGAAGTTGAAAAGTTCTGGAGATAGATGGTGGGGGCGTCTGCACGACAATGTGAATGTACATTATTAATGTGACTGAATTGTACACTGAAAAATGGTTACGTATATTTTACCACAACATTAATTAGAAATCTTAATTTCCAAAAACCAGGATTTGTCACTTTTAGAAACTATACGAAATGTCAACATTTCTTCATTTTCCACTTTCATCGTGAAGTTAAAATACATATTTTTTCCATATTTAGAAGTTACCCGTTTGGTTATTTCTCTTGCAATCACAGATTTTCTCAAAATTTGTACTGATCTCTGCAGAGTTACAACTACCAAAACACAAATGAATACAAAATAATAAGTGGAAAGAGGTATAAAACTCTGAGACAAGATTTATGTAAACACTGCTCCTTACTTTGTGTCTTTCTACACGGTGGAGTAAATTCAAGTCTGTGGACTCTGATATCCCACCATGTATGACCAGGATTTCATTGTCAATGATGGTACCAATTGGGAGCCAGGTATAGACGTCCTCTAAGATTTGTAAGATTTGTTTCCCATGTATCTGTAAATAAGAGCTTGAGTAAGTTTTGTTTTTCTGATAAGTTCAAGTTTATCACAAAATCAACAGTTATCACGCCATGCAAAGGGAGTCAACATGGAATTACTAACCCATCAGCATGCATTAATCCTGATACTTTTAGGTATTTGATGGCTTGCTGACTCTGGAGAAGAGACCACCCCTCCCAGGGCTAGCTAATTCCTAGAAATCGGAGATGAACTGTCTTTCATATGCAGGTAGAGTGCTTTTCAACCAAATCAACCAAGCCAGACCCCATGTCCCCAACCACCTCCGTTAGAGGGCTTTGGCACTCTAGGCCACTATTCCCGTGCCTTAATCACCCCACAGCCAGGCACCAGACAACTAAACACGGCCCCTATGCCCCAGAGCCTGCTGAAACTGTTCAAAGCAGCCAATCCTAAACCCTGACCCCTTCCCACAGAAACCAAAATGAAGGCTCTTGCCCACATTTTCCCCTCATTCCTTCTGCCTCCGGGCCAACCCTGGTGCTTCCCCACACGGCCCCCCTGGTGCTGGGCCTGTGTTCTAGGGAACTGTGAGTAAAAATCTTCCTTTACGACAGTCATTTCTGTATCTGCGTGTTTTCCCATATGGAGGAAAACAAATCCTGGATACCTTTAATACAACAGAATATGTTCGTATCTATGCTAAAACTTACACAAAAGTCACAATGAAAAAGCTCGGTTTAGTCCAGGAAGCACTGTATTGGCATGGAGCCTGACTAGTTTACTCACCACTCTTCCTAAAGGCTCTTTTTTTTTTTTAGTTCTATGTATAAAAAGCAGAGAGGATGCAAAAAAAAAAAAAAAAAGCATAGGAGTCTTACCTTATATTTACACAAAATTTCTTTTGTGAAGCCATACCTGAAAAAAACAATGGTATTTAAACGAATTAAATGTCGACAACTCCTACTTACGGGAGTCACGCCAAAAAGGGAGCCACTGACATCTCACCATCAGAGGTATCAAGAACTCCAGAAACTAGAGTGTCGTTGAAACTATTACTTACCCAAGTCTTTGCTAGGCACGATGGGAAAGAACAAAGGCAGCCGGCCCTACTCCAAAGGAGCTTATAGTATAGTTGGAGAAAGAAGATAAATTCTCATGAAACAATTACAAGGCAACTTAAGAGATATGTTGTAGGTATAGGATGTGTAGACGCAGGTTCTCAGAGACGTGTGCTGTGGCAGCTGGGGAAACTGTGTGGGAGAATGCTTTTCATTGAGATAGAATTTCTCAGACAGCCTAAATCTTATAGTAAATGAATGAAGGCACAGGAAGGGGGGATGGGGGAAGGGACTGAACAGAGACAAAGAAAAGCCTAGAAGATAGGAAGTTGGCTCTTTGTACTCTATCTGATAGAGTTCAGGTAATGGTATTCGAGATTTTCAAGAAACTGTCAGGAATTTTCATGCCTGAACAGCAGTCGCTATGGGAGCTTTAATGATGGAAATCTTTTTTCTTCTACGGTGTCATGCTATGTTTTCCGAGAGGAAGTCAGTCCTCACCAAAGACGGCTGTGTTGTGAAATGCAATGGATACCTTGCAGTCTTCATTTTTCTTGCCCTCTCTAGAATACCAAATACGGTTGACTACACCATCCTTCTGGGAAGCTTTTCTTCTCTTGGATCCTGTGCCAATAAACCCTCTTGGTTTTCCTCGTGCCTTTCTGGGTATTCTAAATCCTTGGCAAGTTTTTCTCTGCCTAGCCTCGAATGCTGGAGTCCCCTCCGATTCTGTCCTAGGCCCTCTTCTCCCCTCACTTTCTCTTGTGGCAATTTCATCCCTGCCTAGAGCTTCGGGTACTATCTGTGAGCCACTATGGCAGGACAATGCTGTAGGCCACACTTCATTTCTGAGCCCTGGACACGTACACTCAACTGCCTACTCAAAAGCACTCCTAATAACCTTAACCCAGACTGAATTGACCATTCTCTCTCATGCCAACCTTTTCCTCTTATCATGTTCCCAACATCTGTGAACAATGCCACTGTACTTCCCAATTCAAGCCTGGAACCTGGAGGTTACCCTTTATTCTCTCCTCTTTCAAGTCCTCCATATGACGTTACCAAACCTTAAATCATCCTTGCCTAAACTCCTCTTGAATCTGTCTACTTCTTTGCATCTCTATCCCTACAGCCCTAGCCTATGTGAGAGAATCCATCATCTATCTCTTCAACTACTTCCTAAGTGGCCTCCCACGTGCAAATATTTCTTCCTGCTGCATTTTAAAACAATGCATGTTTTGATACTCTTCTATGATTTTTTTTGCTGTCCTTAGAAAAAAGTCCAAATTCCTTTGCACGATCCAACCATCTCTTAGGTCTCCAGTCCTATTAGGGACCGTCCTGTCTCTCAGTCGGTGCTCCTGCCCTCTGAAGTGCTTTCATATCGAAAAAGTCTGGTCTCAAGCTCTGCACAAATTGTCCCCTCGCTGTGGAGTACCATTTCTCGTCTACCACCATGGCCCTTTCTGAATGGCTTAATTTATCCTTCGGGTCTCGAGCTAATGCCATACTTCTGTGAGAGAACCCTCTGTCACCCCTCAGACAAGTTAGGTCCCCCACTTTACAAACTCATCACATTGGAAAAACCTGTTTAACATAAGCCTTTCCCACTAGGTGGAAACTCTGTGAGGGCAGAGGCCCTGTCTCTTTCATTAACCATTATAGACACTAGATAAATATGATTGGCTAACTGAATAAATGAAGGGCTACGTGGCATGCCCAAATAAAAGTATTGAGCTACATTATATATAATGGACCTCTGATGACAGTCTTGGATTATTTTTCACCATAGTCTCAGCATCTGCTTCCATAAACTGAGAGTCAGAATTGAAACTCTATACTCAAGCCAGGTGCCGAAACGGCCCCAGAGACAAAACTAATCAGTTGCTGAGCTTTCATCAAGGCATCCAAAAGCCTAGGATCAAAAGCATAAGGCATATCACATGTCATGCCTTCTACTGCCCTAGATAGAGCCAACTGGTAAAGGAGGGGTGAAGGAGGAAGAAAGAAGGGAAAGGGGAACATTTATCACCTACTGTGCCTTTCAGCAAAATTTGGGAAACCGTTTAACCAATCTTTGTTCCTCAAACCTCCAGTGATTCAGAGAGTTGAAACGCTATGTTACAGCTGTTCTCAAATATGTTTGTGAACAACTATGCCAGAAGCAATCACCGTGTCATAAAAAATATACACATCAGTGAAAAACACAGTACTGGTTTCTGAGACAACATCTGAGGCAAGCCAAAAGAGCAGCAACAGAATGATTTCATCTAGGCCCGCTCATGGAAACTACCACACCGCCAAAGCTGGCCTAGCACATCCACCCAGGAAACCGTTTGGCCTGTGATGGTAGTCATAGGAGGAAGAGAGAGAACATTAACAGAAGGGAGAAGCGGGGACAGAACTGGAAGCAAAGATGGGAAGAGGACTTCAGAGCAATTTATAGTCACTCAGTAGAAGACTGAGGTGGTAAATAGAGGTAAGAATTGAGGTCTCCCTTGAGACTCCCCTCATCCCTACTTCTCTACACTCACCTCTAACTCTCTGCAAGGAACTAAACACGGCACGATTTTTCAGAATGGGAAACAACAGAGGAAATCTAAAGGCCTAAGTTACCTCAGATTCATCATAAAATCTTCATGGTTCCCTCTGTTCAAGTGCAGGTCATTGGGGTAGACAAGAAAACTCACAAACAGGATCATTAGGATCTCTATGGAATTTCTTCCTCGATCTACAAAATCCCCATTAAAAATATATGAGTTGCTCCCTGAGGGGAGACCATTCTGTGGAAGGAGGAGAGGGGGAAAAACAAGCAGTTAAAAGAATGTACTTTTAAAGTAAGGCTTTGTACCTAACGTCCCTGTGAATATGGAGAAAAGAGGCTGAGTTAGTTCCTCCACTGGGAAAAATCTGCTACCTTGAGCTAGTTTCACTCTTCCAGGGCAGGCATCTCCTACAAGGGACCTTGGAAGTGAAGCATTAGCTTGAGACAGGAAGATTCCAGGCGTGGGGCTGGGGGATGGTGATTGCTCTTTCTACGCACTACCTACTATGAGTTTTCTCTGAGAGGAGCTGATTTTTGTCCTGTCGAAAATGGCTACTCCCATCTCTTCCTTCTCCCTTGGAAAGAGAGAAACTTCCACCCAAGGAAGAGCACCGAACCAAGAGCCCAGTCTTTCACTGTAAGAGGCCCTATGTTTCACTTCTTATGGCCGTGAATCCCTCAATTTGCAAAAAGGGGATGACACTATACCCACCCCCCTCCCCAGATCGAATGAGACAATGGATATGAAAATACTCGGTATGGATATGAAATGGATATGAAAATACTCTTGCTCATGAGCAAGGCTGATAGATCACCAGAACACTCTGATATCATCGCGCCAGGTGTCGAGAGCTGGCAGATATTGTGACCGCTCACCGACCAGGCTTTAACTATTTCGATTATCACTCCTGGACATGAGAGAATACTTTTAAACACAGTGTTGGCACAAAAAAGAACTGGGATCAGGACAAAGGTCTGGTCTTTATAATAGTCCAAATGTTTAAAAAATACATGACAAAGAGAAAAATGTAAGTACTTATCTACCCAAATGTACGTCCCCCTTCAGAAAAGTCACCTTCAGGAAATAATGCACACATTCTAGTTACGTTAATCTTTTTCCAACTATTTCCAGAGTCCTCTTTTTTAGATTTCAAACTACAAAAGAAATCTTATTACTTTATAGTCACCGCCCGAGGATTTATATACATTTCGAGTTGTTCATATCAATATAATAGAAGTGGTTGAAAAAAATATAATACAGGTTACAATATATGACTTACAATATAGGATTCCAAAAACCATCATGCAATGTCACATGTTCCGAAGAGAAATGGAAACAAACAAGCAAGCAAGCAAGCAACAGTATAGTACCCTGGGCCAGAAATAGGAAGACTTATTTGCTAGTCCCACTTCATTATTTAATCTTTGAGCTACAATTTCCTCATCTGTAAAATGGGGACGATAACTTCCATGCCTAACCATACAGGGCTACTTTGGAACTCAAATGAGGCTGTGTGCGTACAGCTGCAGGAAAACCACAGAGTACCGTACAAATGAAAAGATTCATTTTATTCCGACCTCCGCGTTATTTCTAATTTTAAGGTCCCGTTATTTTACATTTTCTAGTATACTAATTCACATAACTTTATCACGTTAGGCTTAAACAGTATGAGCCAGTTGCAAAAATATAGGTTCCTGCTTCTCAAAACTCCAAGAAAGATGGAAGGATTCTGCGGCTCTGATACTCTTCCTTCCCCAGCCTTCACCTGGTGGGGATGAGTAAGCCAGAGGAATCTGAGGGCTGTTAGAGGCCACAGGCTCTCTTGGGATTCCAGGCCTGGAGGGGACTAGAGGAGCAGCAGAGAGCCCTGGCATGGAGGAACTGGGCCTGAGGGGGCCTGTGCACCCCTTGATTAAGGGGAGGCCCTGACTCAGAGCATGGGGGAGGGGGAGCTGGATCTTACTAGAAGAAAGTATAGGGAAGTTCTTCCCTATTTCTGAAGCTAAAAGAAAACTAACACTTGCATTTAGGGGTACCTAGAAACATAAAGACTTCCTCTCACACTCTTGATGCAGGAGTAGCAACTATTGTGCCTACAACCACAGAGAGGCCTTCTATTCTAAGCAGAGAATAGAAAATGAAAATAACCTAGGGGCGCCTGGGTGGCTCAGTCTGTTGAGCCTCCGGCTTCCGCTCAGGTCATGATCTCACGGTTTGTGAGTTCGAGCCCCGCGTCGGGCTCTGTGCTGACAGCTCAGAGCCTGGAGCCTGTTTCGGATTCTGTGTCTCCCTCTTTCTCTGCTCCTCCCCCGCTCGTGCTCTGTCTCTCTCTCTCTCTCTCAAAAATAAATAAACATTAAAAAAAAATTTTTTTTTTAAATGAAAATAACCTAGTACTTAAGGGGATCTAGTAACCGGAGAAAAGCAGACCAATCAGATCTGCTAAAGTTCTATCCCCTAATAAGCTAGAATTGTTGAAGGAGACAGAGGACAATTTTATTTAAAAAAAAAAAAAAATAAGAGGACCACAAAATAAAGAACAAAAAGGTAATAATTCTTAGCATTTAAAATGTGCTATTCAGATTTAAAATATCAATATATTAGAGCTAATTAAAAGAAATAATGATTGGAAAATACATTATTGACCTGAAAGAACAGATGAAAAATCTCTTACACAGATTAAAAAGCAAAATGATGGAAACTGTAAGGAATGAGTAAGAAATTAGAGTTCAGAGCCAAGAGAACTAATATGCCAGTAATAATTCCAGAATCAAGAAAGAGGAACAGATGGAGAAGAGGCAAAAATTACACAAATAAGAGAGGGAGACTTCTATGGTTAAAAAGAGACTTCATCCTGAAGTTTGAAAGAGCTCACGAATCCTGTGCACAATTGATGAGGGAAAAACATCCCTATTACCTGGTAAAAATCTTAGAAGCTGCTAGACAAAAAGAGCAAGTTACAAAGGGAAAAGAATCATCCTGGCATTAGACTTCTCACATGCAGCAGTGGGAGGTAGAAGACGATGGAACAAATCTACAAACTAAAGAGAGAAAAGGACTATGAAGCAAGAATTCTATATTGGCCAAGACATCATTAACTTCCTAGGGTGACAGAAAATATTTGCAGATGTGTAAAGGGTCAAATATCAGCAGCAACATCATCGGGGTGGAAGAAAGACATATGTGAGTATGTAGTGATCTAATACCACAAAAACAATGAACATGTATTGATTGTGTGTTATGTGCCATACACAATTTTAGATGCTAGAAACACAGAGGTAAATAATACAAAGTCCCTGCATTCCATGAGCTTGCATTCAGAGAATATAGCACCCACATGCCCCACAGAGGAAAACACTCAAGAAAATATCCTAACCAAATAACAGCACAGTACAAAAAAAAAAAGTTCTCAAGCCAGGGAAAGACCCAAGAAGAAAGAATATAGATGTGAACAACACACCTTTCAATATAAATCAACAGTGATAATGTGTAACTTGCATTTAAGTACTAAGCAAGGATTCTGGAAATAAAAGAGACATACTATGAAGAAAAGCAAAAGCCTAATAATGGTCAAGAACTAAAAATATGGCATGAGCTGTAACCAGAATTTGCAGGGGAGCTCCACAAATCTCATCCCAATGGGGGACATACATGGAAAGTGTGACAATAAATACATTTATCTTGTTGGAGGAGAGGGAGTATAATGGTGAAAGAAGAAAGTTATAGCTATTTGAGAAATATATCCACATACATTATTTATCAGAAATGTCAAGAATGGGAAAATAACTACTAATGAATGAAAAGCACAGTAAAAATGTCAAAGAAAACAATAATAAAGAAAACTTTACCAGAACAGCAAAAAGAAAAGGGAGAGGATGAAGCAAAGTGAAGTAAATAGTAAACAAAGAAGAAAATTTTTCAAAAACATCTGCTGTTATACTAAATGTGAATGGGTTAAATTCTTCCATTAAAATATCAAGATTACCAAACTATATTAAAATACAAAACTCTGATATATACAGTTTGAGAGAAAAACACATCAAAAATAGATAAAGGAAGGTTGAAAACAAGGTAAATACAACAAATATAAAACAAAAATGTAGATACTGATACTAGACAAAGTGAAATTTAAGATTAACAGTGCTAATAAACACGGTCACAAAGCAACAATATATAATAGAAGGCACTTATAAAGAAGGTACAATTCATGAACTTGTATTCAACAAACAAAAGAACACATTTTTCCTTCATATATTTAACTATTATAGATGCAAGAAGAAACTGTTTAAAAATACAAACACAGTATGGGGCGCCTGGGTGGCTCAGTCGGTTGAGCGTCCGACTTCGCTCAGGTCACGATCTCACGGTCTGTGAGTTCGAGCCCCGCATCGGGCTCTGTGCTGACAGCTCAGAGCCTGGAGCCTGTTTCAGATTCTGTGTCTCCCTCTCTCTCTGGCCCTCCCCCCATTCGTGCTCTGTCTCTCTCTGTCTCAAAAATAAATAAATGTTAAAAAAAAAATTTAAAAAAAATACAAACACAGTAAATTATTTAGATTGAATTATTGTTTTAAAACAACGTCTACAAATTCTTGCAACACCCTTTAAAAGATGAAGGCTAACTTCCCTCTTCTTGAATGTGGGTTGGATTTAGTGATTTGCTTCTATGAATTGAAAAAAAGAAAAAAAGCATGACTGATGGTGTGCAGCTTTCAGCTTCCTTCCTACTGTCTCTTTTGCATCACTCACTCTAGGAAAAGTCAGATGCTATGCCATGAGAACACTCAGATACCCTGTGGAAAGGCACATGTGGCTCTTTTGCCCATAGCCAGTGAGGAGCTGAAATGCTGTGCCTGCAGCCATGTGAGTTAGCAATCTTGGAAATGGGTCCTTGAGCCCCAGTCAAACTTTCAGATGACTTCAGCTCTAACCAATAGCTTGCCACCGCATGAGAGACCCTAAGCCAGAACCATTCAGCTAAGCTGCACTCAAATTTCTGACCCACAGAAACTGTGCAATACTAAATGTTTATAGTTTTAATGAACTAAGTATTGGGGTAGCTTGCTACACAGCAATATATAACATACACATTTAGACAGATACATTAGAAACTGAATATGTGGGAAAATTGAATATTTAGGGGCACCTGGGTGGCTCAGTTGGTTAAGCATTAGACTTCGGCTCACGTCATGATCTCATGGTTCGTGAGTTCAAGCCCCACATGGAGCTCTCTGCTGTCA